AATACATCGAGGGTGTGGGTGTTAGGGTCCTGCGGGAACGACTTTTCCCCCTGTTTTCTCGTCCCGTTTCCCGCGGGAATCGGGAACGCGAATTCCCGTGAGACATCAGCAACGGGAATACGGGAACGAGAATTCTGGTGGGTACTCCGATAACGGGAGCAGAGGAACGGGAATTGTATTAAAAATTTCTGTTCTCGGTAAACTTTATGTCCGATTTCTGTTTGCATTAAAATCTGTTAATGTTATAGTATTCGATTTCCAATAACTATTTGAAATATAATTGAAAAGATAACAAATATCAATCAACAAAATCAGACACGTTCATTCAAACATAGATTCTGAGAATCACGATATTCTTTATCACCACCCGCGTCGTCGGAATTGAAGCTGGGATCATCAAGATTACATATATGTCAAACTTGAAACCTGAATTCAACTGAAATTTCAACTTTCAACTGAAGTTTCAACTTTGAAGTTTCAATAGATTTATGCGTCTCGAATCAAAAATTGACTGTTAATACATGGAATCTTGTATTGTGAGAAAGATGTTGTTGCTAAAAGCTAGTATCAAGTAGAAGTAGTGTTGATGAATGTGAATAATGAAATCGTTGTAGCTATTCTCAAAGCATTACGATAACGAAAACATGGGATCGGGAACGAAAATTTTTGTTACGGGAACGCGGAAACGGGAACAAAAATTTTCAATACGAGAACGGGAACCAGAAAAAGTTGTTCCCGCAGGTCTCTAGTGGGTGTGGGTGTCTTGAAGAGAGTATTCATGTCCACATTCACACCCATACCTAGTCACCCTCATCCGCACCCACACCCACACCCTATAAAGGGTTAAAAGAATTATAATAAAGATAAATAAATGAATTTTCAATTTGCTCATAAAAATCAATTTTAGAAGAAATTTCTTATTTTCTCAGTTGCTCACTTATTGTTACAACAATATTTTCACTTCTAGCATGATTTCTATTTTTACATAAATATATTCCTTTCCAAGTACCAAAAGAAAAACGTTCTAATGTTATAGGAATATTAATTCATGAAGCAAGTAATGAAAATATGGCATGTGCTGATATATCAACATTACCGTCATCTAAATATTCAAAAGAATTATCTTTCAGCACAAGTTTATTAGATATTGTTTTCAAATCAGCACATATATTAGGTCCAGCATTTTCAATAATCGATAATGATGCACCTATATGTCGAATAAATATATTCATTAAACAAATTACAATTTGTTTTATTCCAGGAATTTATTGTAAATTTTCATTTGTTACAAAATGGAAACCACGTTTTGTGTGTGGGCATGAGATCGGGTGCGGGTGCCACTATTCCTGAGGACAAGTTCCATTCTCACACTTCACACCCATCCAACAAAAAATGTCTGAATAAAAAAAGTTCTCCTATTGTAACGAATTGGCCGTCAAGAAGATGTAATTATTCTTTCTCGGCGAACGGGACGGTAGCGTTCACTCTATATAAGTGCTGCGTTTAGTCTATCGATAGTATGTATGAAGACAATGTGTATAATAAGAGATTTCAATAATTCCATAGACGACAAAACGAAGCAGAAGTAAATCGAACGTTTGCATTTCTACTATTTTCACTTTATAATGAATTATTATTATTTTTCGAACACACAATATCAGTTGATGTTCCACCGTAATTGAACGACAGCATTTTTAAATAGATATTCCACAACATCAAAACACAAACAAAATTTGCTGCTTTTTTACTTTGAATATAACCGAAAGCAGACAAAATATATTATTTATTAAAACAGCCAACTTATTGGAAAAAATGAAAAAGAAAAGTAATGATCGGTGTAGATGGCTACAGTAAATGACAATAGTTGACATCTAAACAATACTAGTCCATTTGCAACCGTCATCTGTGTCTGATTATGTTTTTTCTATTTTGTTCAATTCGTTGGTCACTTTTTAATCAATAATTTTTTTTTAATATTCTCTCTTCTTCAAAGTTTATTAGCAACCCTTTTTTTGTATATGAAGGAAATCCTAACATGAATGTAGATTCTACAATCAGGATGTGGAACACTTTTGATGTTGTGGAATATCTATTTAAAAATGCTGTCGTTCAATTACGGTGGAACATCAACTGAT